AATTTAAAATTAAGTTATTTATACAGTGAAAAATAAGCACAATATTAAATACTCATTGTAAATACAACACAAAATTTACTTTTGAGTAAAACGCGCGCCACTATTTTTTTTCACGATTTTACACTCTGACAGCTCCTGTGCCAGCGTCAAACTGAACTATTTATTATAAATCGCGTGTTGTGTTTACCCGATGAAGTAAAGTTGCAATATATAATGCAACTATTTACAAATGCATTAAACTTAATTTTGGGCGATAATATTTATTAAAATCGTTATTAAATCAAATTTACTGCATCACCTCGTGCCAAAGGCCGAAAACTAGACCCGGTCGGCTTACCGGCGCAACGACCCTATATTACTTTGCCGGAACTACTAAAAAGATTTTCCATCAATTTTAAAGTACCTATAAATGCTGAATGTTACTACAACTTTGTTTTATACTATTATTTATTGAACAGTGTACTATTTTAACTTATAATACCGGTGAAAAATAATAGAAAATAGCTTTTAGTTTGTTTTTAGGTGATAGTAAAATACATATTTTATTTGCTAATTACTCAGTATTCCCATTAGATACGGTAAAACTAATATTACTATTGTAATCTATAGATTATAATAAATAAATCGACATGCATTTCATTAAGGTTCTCTAAAATTTGTGGTGGGCCCATTCAGCCCCATTCTCCATACAAAAAGAAACTGTCTCCTTTCTTTTTAAATCTAACAAGGCTACTATCGAATATATTTAGATGTACGATGAGACAACGAGATTAAGCGTAGCGACGCTTAAACGCATCGTAATCACGGCATATTTTGACAACAGGGTTAAATCATTTAAAATTAAAAAAATTGTACAACCGACTTCAATATAAATTATTAAGAATAAATCAAAAACTATTGATCAGACATGTGAAGCACCAACTTTCAATTAAAAAAAATAATCATTGAAATCGGTTCACCCAGTAGAAAGTTATGATGTAACACACATTAAAAAAACATACAGTCGAATCGAGTACGTCTCCTTTTTGAAGTCGGTAGAAAAGGAAGTGTATTACTACCGGAATTAAAGTTAATTAGTCTTCGTAACACTGGGTAATCTAATATGAGAATGCACAATCTTGTACGAAAAAACCTGGTCGACAAATTGTCTCCTCAAAGATAATCGTTGAATGCGTTTTAAGCGTAAAAGTTAACACATTTTTTTATTTAATATTATCTTTGTTTTATTAAAACAACCATTGAACAACTTTCAGCATTAAAATTCAAAATCATAAATAAATTAAGTTGTAATATAAAGGACTTTTCTTTTACAATTTCTACTATATTGTATTTAATATATATTTATTATAATTCTACGTAATTTTCTAGTCTGCCCTACGTATTTTCCAAAATCCGAGTTGGCAACACTGGTGACAAGTGAAGCTGTAGTGGGGAGTTTGAAGTGGACTTTGATATGTAAAAGTGGTGCGTTTTGTGTATTGGAAACTGTGAAAAAAGTGCTCTGATGGTGATGTGATTCTCAAAATAAGGTGTATGTCTGCTTAGGCGCCTTGAGATACCATCACCAATCGTCAGCTGTCTGCTGACTCAAGTAGCTGTCAAAATCTCCCAAAGGCTGCACAATGTGACACATCAACATATTGTGAAGCAGTATACTATGAAGGAGTGGGGAAATTGCAATAAACCGAATAAAAATACTTAAGACTTGGCCTAAAGGCCTAGATACCAAGCCATAAACTCCAAAAAAAGCTGTAGTGGCGAATGGCGATTTCGACTTGGCATGGGTAATATCACTTTTACCCTATATCAAATCGTTCCTATGTTATGGATATGAATATTCGATATTGTATCTATATATTTCAATATCTATATATTTGTTGATACCTAATAATATTTATAATGTTCTTATTTATTTTATATTTTATAATATCTTACAAAAATCATTTTACGAAGTCACCTAACGAGAAAAATTCATAGTCCCGCTACGTAGATGACGATATTTTGACGAACTCTAAGTTTCCGAAATTATGTAGGTATGTTGAGATCAAACATACGTTATTCATTCATTCGTTACAATTAAAGTCAACTATAGGCGTCCCCACAAATAACCTCGTAAGGTAGACACCTGCCATAGTTGCCATAGTTTCTACTTTTGGCACGCGGGTTGGCAACCGCAGTTTTTTATTTTAGATCTAGTTGTTGTTAGATACGTCTTCTGGTTTCACTCTGCCGCCTTTTATACACCCAGGGGATGGTAGTAAATATTCTTTCACCGCCAAAACTTATTGTTATTGAATACAGTAAACGCTCTTTATTCGCGGGGTATATGTTCCGTAAATATGCCGCGAATACAAAAACCGTGAATATGGAATGGTAATTTATATGGAATTATAGGGGATACGTTCCTAGGTGACAAAATAAAACACAAATATATAAAAAAACTCAATTTAATTGAAGCTTTTGACCATATTGATTAATTCAGTTCAATAAGTTCATATGTGCTCTTTATGTGCCTAAACTGAATAAACGAAATTGATTGATTGATTGAATTATTATCTTCATGCTTAGGCAATGATTTAAAGAATTTTGTAATTTTTTCTTGCTTGGCAGTTATTAAAAGTTCCTTCATTTCAGACTGATACTCTGCAGTGGCATTAGTAATTTTCCTCTTAAAAATAAGACTTCGTTCCATAGACGGATCAATTTTCATAAAGATATCACAAATCTCAATTGCCATTCTTAAAACCTTCACTAAGATTTTTGAAATTAAACCAGTGACCCTTTTTACTGGAAAAGAGCCATTCCATCTTAGTCGTCACGGGTGACAACGCATCTGCGTTTTGATTCGCAAACGAGGATAGATGTAGATGTCTATGGGCCACATCAACCACTTACCATCAGATGGACTGTTTGCTCGCTTGGTCACCCTATCCTATAAAAAAATGTCACGTTTCCAGTGCTTGTTGAAGCCTCTTCTTCAATGAGTTGTGAATTTAACATTTCCTCCAAGTCGGTTTCAGTCAAATTTTCATCTTGCTATTCAAGCAACTCCTAAATGTCACTTGATTCTATCTCTTCGAATCCATGTCGCCCTATTCCATTCGCAATTTCGGCTGTTTGCATAGTTTTTTCTAGCATGATTTTAATGTGTATGGCTTCAGTTCTTTCAATCATTCTTTTATGTTTACGACACAAATTTTCAAATTGTCAAATTTCTTCGAGCATTCCATAACTTTCATATCAGGATCACATTCCATATTATCCAATATGATTTTGAAGGTTCGTCTAATGTAATGGAGCGTAAGAATAATGCAGACCTTTAGTGTCTGGATTATTCCTTGGTCCATAGCTTGAAGCAAAGTCGTCGTTTTGGTAGGTAAAAATGTCCGAACCTGTATTGGTTCGGCCTTTGACATAAGCCGCCATATCGTTTAACAACATACTTTAGGCATAGTTGTAATAAGGTCTTCATAATTTACTTTTATAGTTCATTTGACGACGCGCTTACAAAAGGTATTGGGTTGAATACCTATTGGAATTATTTTTATTAATATGTATGTTCCGATTAGATCCGCGAATAAAGAGATCTTTAGCCGCGAATATAGAAATCGGGTCGCATTTTTTTAATCTGCGAATAGTGAAAACGCGAATGAAGGAAGCGCGAATAAGAAGCTTTTACTGTACTTATGTACGTATACGTGGTAGAGCCATGCTGCAGCTATAATAGTAGTATAGTTGTAGAACGAATGGGTCGGTTCGACCGGGGAAGGTCCACGCTCTCACTGAATACCAGCTTAAAATAGCAGCTTAACACTGCTGTATTTTGTATGGTGACTGTAATGAACCGGAGACCCTCTTTACTGAAAAAGAGGCATTCTATCTTCGTCCTCAAGGCTGACAAAACAAACGAGGATAGATGTAGAGGTCTATGGGCCTTAACACCACTTACCATCAGGTGGACTGTGTGTTCGTTTGTCACCCTATTTCTATAACAAAAAACATAATATTGATATTTAATTAATCAACGAATTTGATGTGATTTTGATGTATATTTTTAAATATTTTGTAAAATCTACTAATCTACCCCGCGTTTAACCGCCTTTCTTCGAGTTTGTTTTACGTCATTCTATTCGTTCTAATCCAAATAATATTATATTACGCAGATAATTATGTATTACATATATATTTTTTTATTTTCATATCTTTATAATAGAGGGCAGGTTAGAGACAGTCCGAGCCCCAATTTTAATTTAAAAAGAAATGGTAGTAAAAGTTTAGATTTTTAGCGTTATATCCCAAATGTAAAATTTTGTTTTGACGTTATAATAACATTATTTTCGTAATTTGTACCATTGCTTTATTGAAATATTAATTCGTACTTTTTTTTGAGTTCCTAGCAAAATACGATTTTTTTCCAGTTTATGGTACGATCTTCTTAAAAAATAAAGTTGACAGCCCTGCTCCTAATGGCTATTAATTGTTTGGCCTAAAGGTCTAGATACCAGGCCATTAACTCCATAAAAAAAGCGACTAACTGACTGACGAGTAGGGATGGGCAAGGGAAAAAAATACATCGATATATATCGAAGCGATATTTTTAAACAGTATCAATATATATCACGTGATAAATATCGATACACTGTCATCATTTGCATGATGTAAAGATAAGGTTCAAAATTTTATAGTACTGACGGTTGGATGACGAAAAAACACATAAATACTTTTGTACCTCCTTTTGTGATTACATGTTTTGTCATTAATAAATTTTAAAATATGAATAACAAAATTGATACGAATGCGATACTCTAAAATAAATATCGATGTATCGCGATTTAATATATCGACGATATTTTTCTTTAAAAACATCGATATTTCGATATTTTTTGCCCAAGCCTACTGACAATACTTTATTATGACAGATGATATCCGACGTATAGAATCAGATCAGTTTATAAATTTAATTTATTTTAGGAAAATTTCAGGACAAAAAACTATTAAAGATGAGTTACATGCTCGGGCATTTGCATAATGGATGGCAAGTAGACCAGGCTATCTTATCAGAAGAGGACAGAGTTGTGGTGAGTTTAGATTGTGTTGCTTAGTCTGGAAATTTCTGTATACTAATACAATCTTTATATTTGATTCACTTTTTTGAGACGTAACTTATTTTACTGATGCAATATTTGCTTTTTACATTAAAAACCTTATACTGAAGTATCATTTTAAGTGTGTAAATTAGTCTTTGTTTCTAGGTAATTCGGTTTGGACATGACTGGGATCCCACATGCATGAAAATGGATGAAGTATTGTATAATATTGCAGAAAAAGTAAAGAATTTTGCAGTGATATATCTTGTGGACATTACAGAAGTACCAGACTTTAATAAAATGTAAGGCTGCTGTCATACTGTGATACTGTTTACTTCATAACAAAGCAAATTAATTGGATAACAAGATATTTTGGTTAATAGTTGCCAACCATGCTGTATACCTCATATTGGTATATTAGTAGGTGCTACTATACTCACATTAACAACATAATTGGTGTCTATGCCAAATTTTATTAGAATTGCTCCAGCCACTCGAATATGAATGATTAACTAAAATCCAAGCTAACATACATTCACATAATTATATGTGGTAGAGCCAAGTTGCAGCTATATTATGTTTGTATCACTAATGGGTCCACTCGACTGGGGAAAAACTACAATCTATGCACAGAAAACCAGTGCAATGCTGCTGTATTTTGTATGGTAAGTGTATAGGGAACCAGAGACCTTTTTTACTTGATACAAACTATTCCATCTTAGTCCAGGGGTGACAACGCATCTTCATTTTTATACTTATTTGAGGATATCTATGAGTCACAGCACGCACTTACCATCAGGTGGGTTATGTGCTCGCTAGTCACCCTTATTCTATAAAATATAAAGTTTATTTAAAAACTATAGTAGGATAATTAGACAATTTTTTGAGCCTTTATTTTTTTTATAATAAAGAAGCAGCATGACTATCACTTTAGAAAATACCTGCCTAACAATTTAATTTTTTAATTGTTTATACTTTTTTGCACATGCATTTAAATGCAAAAATATTTTAAATACAAAACTAAATCTAAACTCAGGTTGATTTCAAAGTGGATAAGGAATGTTGAGTATATATTATGAGGTTGAGCTTGTGATAATGAAGAATGGTATGAAAGGAAAGAATAGTTTTGAGACATGAGAGTATATTTAAGAAGTGTGTATAAATGTATTGGAAATAAACAGCTGCAATTAATATTATATTAGTAGATAAAAAGAAACAAAAATCATAATTCATAACATAATCATTATGTTACAGGTATGAATTGTATGACCCCTGCACAGTGATGTTCTTCTTCCGAAACAAGCATATAATGATTGATCTTGGAACTGGTAACAATAATAAGATAAATTGGCCACTTGAAGATAAGCAGGAAATGATTGATATAATTGAAACAGTATATCGGGGCGCACGTAAAGGCAGAGGTCTAGTTGTTTCACCTAAAGATTATTCCACCAAATACAGATATTGAATTTATCTCATATTTAAATATAAATCCATGTGTAATAATAGCATAGAGCACTTGCGATTGATGTGATATTTGTATACTTCTCATGAAAAGATCAGCAGCACTTACAAGTAGAGCATTGTTATAAATGTTTTACAGTGTGTAATTTATATGAGACTAAGGTGTGAATACAGAAGTTGTAATCATAACTGTGTTTTATTTTTAACATTCACTATATTCTCATATAAGAAACATAAAAGATATTTATTGTGCAGAAATTTTGGTAAGGAAAGAAAGTCTTAGCTATTTATTACATCTTGAAAGAAATTCTTCATTTTTATCTTAGTATCTCCTTTTGATGAGCAAAGGAGTAACTATAAATTATATTATACATAATATACCAGATAACATTCATAGATACAGTTCTGTTTGACTGTAGCCATGTTATTTTCTCCAAGTTTCAGCCATATGTTGAGTACCATAGATGTATATCACCCACTTTCATTGCTGGTTATATGGTTTTTCAGCTACAATAAGTATTTCAATATGCCCTGTTCACTTCCATCCACAATCACACTCCACAGGATGATCTATGAATACTTTATTTCCTCTTTGATTTATCTGTGAATTCAAGGTGTTTGCGTTGCTTCTGTCCAAGTTATTTCCAGACTAAACAATTTTTTGAGGTGGTTTTCTACAGCCCTCTACAAGTTCTACAAGTTATCTAACAAATAACATGTCGGTAATCTCAGAACTGATCAACAAAATTGCTTTACACTCCACCTTCTATAAATCACATTATTTAAAATTTGGAAATCTTTTTGTGGATTAATTTGAAAATAATAACTTTAGGTTGAATTGATCTCTTCTATTTTTGCAAAAAAAAAATGCCGTTTTCTGTCAAATTGAGATCTACAGAGATGAGATAGTATAATTTAGGCTAATAAGCGACGGCGAAGCGCTGCGTCTAAGAAGCTCTGCGAAAACCTTGGTAGAAAAGTACACTTATCAATCTGCCAAGTATTGCCATTGAGACAAATTCTCCAATCATGGGAGAGGCAACTTTTGCTAAGCTGTTTTACAAATATATATTGTTGCCCACAAACTAAAATCCAGACCCAATTATTTCTAGGCCATAAATAATGCTGCAACCATATGCCTGAGCAGCGAATAATGGGATTAGGCTTCAAAGAGATCTGGGCCTAATAAGACAGCAGAATTTAAGAAATTATATTCTAAAACCGATTAGGATTCCACTACAATAAAAACACATTTCAGAATATCTATTAGTTTAAAGGTCAAGAATCAATATACAGATGCATTGTTATCCCTGAGGACTGCAATTGAATGCCTTTGTTTAGGCAAAAATATAAAACATTTGAAACGTGAATTTTTTATACGTACGTTCGAAGCGTAGCACCCATAGCAAGGTCACACGCCCCCCGCCCGGTCGCATTCCACGGGCGGTATCGGACGGACTTCTCGAGAAGCATTGTAAAGTATTTTGCGATCGATACTGACGTCTTAGTGATTAGCGCCTAATTTGTTACGAACGTAAAAAACCCGCTTAAATCGTTGCGTCGACGAGAACACGTATTGTTCTTTAAGGACTTATTAACTTCTGTTAAATTAATTGTGCAACTCCGATAGTGATTTTCCTTTGAAGTTCTTCGTTTGGCTGTACCATTACGTGACAAAACTGAAAGGGTGCCTCAAGAAGGGAATAGTTCCGGGGCTACCAGCGGATACATTCTCCAGGACAGTATTGTGTCATCTAGCCCAGGCCATTACACACAGCTTCATACAAAGAACACATACATTCACTACACTCTCATCAGCCGGGCAGATCCTGGTGAACCGTCTCCGCTCCAGAAGCAGCTAAGTGCCTTCCCTTTAACTGGCTTTCCCCCTTATTGTTTATTGTAATTAGAGACCTTCCACTTTGGCCTTAGGTGGCCCGACCTGCATCTGCCTGTAGGTTCTTCCTTCATGGGCCGGGAGGATCCTACTATTAGATAGGCAGCTGCACGCCGTAACATTTTGGTAGCAGTAGCGTGGCTGATTGACTTTCAATCACGCCACGGCCATAACATTAATAATAGGTAATAATAAAATTATATTCCTCGCTGCTTTTGTTTATTAGCGGGTTGACTGGGACGCCACGCCCGTAGGTTAACAAGCGGGAATTTTGTTGAGACTAAGTACTTACCGTAGTTCTTAAGGTGAAGTACTTTGATTAGGTAGATAAGGTTGTCACGTAATCGGATAATTTGTTGATCGTACTAGGATTGTTACTTGCTAATTTGATTTGTTTTTTCGTGTTAACTTGTATTTAATTTAATAATTGTGTAATTTCTATTTAACTTGATTGATAGGAACTGTATTTGTTATTTGCTAATTGATTTATATTTGAGCCGAGTAGTAATTGTATTTAGTAGGGATGCCGTCACACAAGCTACTAATTCGTTGCTTGCGGACTGATCTGCGCTGGGCTACCAGCGCACATGCTTTGATAGGTCGACCAGATAGGGTTTATAACATGAGGAAGAGGCTCGAGCAGGTCGATGCTCGAAGGGCTGCCGTGGAGGAGGCTTACGCTGAGCTCGAGGACTCGGAGGTGGAAAAGGGAGTCCTGGACTCCTGCCACGCGGACTACGAGCAGTTCCTCGCGCTCACGGACGACTTGATCGAGGCGGGGGCCAAGGACGCAGAGAAGGAGCGCGAAGCTCGGCAGAGTGGCCTGCTCGAGTCCCCTCGGAAGCCGCCCACTCAGCCGGAGCTGTTAGGACGACCCCCCACGCTGGACCTGCCAAGGTTCTCCGGGGTCCTCTCGGAATGGCTGACCTTCGTCGGTATGTTTGACAGCCTGGTGGACGCCCGGAGGGACTTGACCCCCTGCCAAAAAATGGGATACCTCCTGGCATCACTGGAGGGGGAGGCCCTGGGCGTCGTCGGCCACCTTAAGTTGTCGGACGACGCCTACCAAAACGCCAGGGACCTCCTCGCTGGAAGGTACTCGTCCGGCGGATTGCTGACGAGCATGTTTGGAGGCTGCTGAACCTCCCGCTGATGAGGGACCGGACCAGACTACGTGAGGACATCGTGAATCCAGTCGTCGTAGCGTGCAACTCGTTGCGGCGGCTGGATTTACCGGTGGACGAGTGGTCTTTTTTATTACTCCATATCGTGCTGTCCCGCCTGCCCCTCGACCTTCGGCTCCATTTTGAGGAGAGGTACGGAGGGGATAGCGCCTCGTACATTCCTCCCTTTAGGGATCTGCTGCGGTTCCTGGAGGAGCAGTGTAGGCAGTTAGAGAACGCAGCAGGCGCCGTCGAGGGCCCCCCGGCCGCCGCCCGAGCCGTGCCCAGGGAGAGGCGGAATCAGACGCCCAAGGCGTCGCCCACCCCCCTGAGGCCGAGCGGAGCCCCGCGGGAGGGCGCCCCCACCACCCTCCTATAGTGGCCTAGGGGCCCGGGTGGCGCCTCCCTGCACCTATTGTCGAGCATCTGACCACCGGGCGACGTCGTGCCCTAAGTTGTTGCGCAAGCCGGCTCCGGCGAGGCGAACCATCGCCAGGGAGCGCCGCTGGTGCTACTCGTGCCTGGAGAGGCATTTACAACGAGACTGCCCGCACCAGCGGCCCTGCACGAACTGCCAGGGCAACCACCACATCATGTTGTGCCTGGGTGCGCGCGGCGCGTCCTCTCCGGGCCCTGCCAGCCTCCCGACTCCCACGGACGGGGGCGCTCCGCCACGCCCCCTGTCGGGCGACGCTCGGCGCTCGCCGATTGACCACAGCGCCCCTCGTTCTGAGGGGAGTCCCTCCCCCGACCGGTCGGGGAGTCGTTCCCCCAGGGGCGGGGGGGTCTTCACCTCCCCCCCTCAGCGGGTTGAGAGTGGATTCGCAGCCACTCAGCGGTCAGCTAGACCGTTCGCACCCCCGTTAGCTGAGTGGCCGCGACTGGAACGCCGCCCGCCCCCCTTTGGTCGGTGCCGGTATTACCGGGTTTCGGAGACCGCGTATCGGCCCCGGGCCTCGGAACCGAGGATCCCCGAATTTCCCCAGGTTGGCCTGTTCGGGAAATTCCAGTCGAGGGTCATCGGGATGCCGTCGAAGTGCCGCTCTCGGGGCCCCCGGTTCGGGTGCCGGTCCGACAGAGGCAGCTCCAGATAGGAGGCTGCCGCCCTAGCTCCCGCCATGGCCGCCTCCACTGAGCCTTTGAGCCGTCAGCAGTCCACCTGTCAAACTGTTCTATTGCCGACGGCATCAGTGAAGGTGTACAACCCGAGCGGCGACCGCTTAACGGTTCGAGCTCTATTGGATTCGGGTTCCCAACGTAGTGTGGCCTCCACTTGGTTGGCGGGAAGACTGGGGCTCCCCTGGAGCTCTGCATCACGTCCGATGGTAGGTATCGGAGGTGCCGAGCGAGGCTGAACACCAACTCCGCCTGCTCCTAGGGGACAAGCGGAGTTGGTGTTCAGCCCTGCCAGCGAACACCTTCGCATTTTAGTCAAGGTAAATGTCCTCGATGACATTGTAGGGTTTCTCCCTAACGTTCGTATAAATGACAGCGCGGTTCGCTGTGCGTCGGGTTTGAGACCGGGAGACCCTCGGTGGGCCCAACCTGGGCCTATAGATTTGTTACTGGGGGCCGACACGCTGGGGGTCATCTTGTTAGGTGAGATACGAGCTCTACAGCCCGATGGCCTGTCAGCCATGTCCACGATATTTGGGCACAGCTTCATTGGACCGGTTATGTGGTCTCCTCCTCCTCCGACGGCCGACCCGCTCTCCATTGTGGGCGTGTCCTTTTCGGACGCCGTCCAGCGGTTCTGGGAAATTGAGGAACCACCACATGCGGCTCGAATCAACCCTCTGGACCGTGAGTGCGAGTTGTTCTTCCAGAACAATACCGGCCGTCGGATCGACGGTCGTTTCGTCACTCGCTTACCCTTTCTGGACTCACGTCTTTCTTTGGGCCAATCTCGTGCACTAGCCGAGAAGAGGTTGAGAGCTGGGTCACATTTCACCGTCCAACTTCGAATGGCGTTCACAGGAGCACTACTTCCTCCCTCACCATGCGGTCTTGAGGACCCCTGCGAGTAAGATTCGGGTAGTTTTTGACGGTTCCGCCCCCACATCAAATAGTGTGTCCCTGATCCAGTGTCTTCACTCTGGTTGTAAACAGATCAAGGACATATCCGACATCTTGACCCAATTCCGTCGGCACCAAGTGGTTTTTATAGTGGACATTCGGATGATGTTTCGACAATCAGTGGTCCATCGTGATGACCGTCGATATCAGCTGATATTGTGGCGCGAGAAGCCCAGCGATCCTATACAGGTGTTTGAGTTGAACACCACCACATACGGACTCCGGTCCAGCCCGTATATCGCCATGCGAACCCTCCTTGAACTCGCTGAGAGAGAGCGCCTGAGATACACTCGGGGAGCTTCTATTTTGGAGACTTCGGTCTACATGGACGACATTTGTACGGACGCTTCCACCGTCGAGGAGGCTCTTGTCTTGCGAGACGAATTAATTGCCATCCTGAAGTCCGGAGGCTATGAGTTGCGCAAGTGGTTGTCGAACTCCCCTCATATTTTGAAGGACCACCCAGGAGAGGATCAACAAGACCCTCATCTGTTCGAGCACCCTGAGAATCCTAATTTGTTGACTGTGCTGGGCATTCAATATCAGCCTGTTCAGGACACCTTCACGTATAGAGTAAAACTTGACCCACCTCCCAAAGCATGGACCAAACGCTCCGTGCTGTCTACCGTAGCCCGCACCTTCGACCCTAATGGATGGATCGCCCCGGTAATCTTTTTGGCTAAGTGCTTTCTTCAAAAGCTCTGGAAGTCCGGGTTGGGTTGGGACGAGCCTATTAGCAGAGTCCTCTTGCGAGAGTGGCTCTCCATGCTCTCCTCCCTTCCGGACATCAACCGGGTTTCCATGCCAAGGTGCTTCCTCCCTCCAGAGAAATGCAGGGCTACCCTACATGGGTTTTGTGACGCCTCTGAGAAGGGCTATGCTGCTGTCGTATATTTGCGGACTGTAAGTTCCTCTGATCATACTGCAGTCCATCTCGTACTCGCTAAAAGCAAGGTTGCTCCTATTAGGTCCCGCTTAACTATCCCTAAATTGGAACTGTCCGGTGCCGCTCTTCTCACGCGACTCCACAACCACGTTCACTCGTCCTTGAAGCCTATAATCGACATTACGGACGTCTACGCATGGTCGGACAGTGAGATAGTACTTTGTTGGCTCCGAGCTGCTCCTCACAATCTTGAGGTCTTTGTGGCGAACCGCGTGTCTCAAATCCAGAGTTCTGAGACTTCTCTCAACTGGAGACATGTCCCAGGGGAGTTGAATCACGCAGACTGCGCTTCTCGCGGCAGTGAGGTCCCCTCGCTGGTTGACCACCCACTGTGGTGGGGTCCCGGTTGGTTATCTGAGTCTCAGTCATTCTGGCCCCCGGGTAATTACTCCGAACCTACCGAATTGCCGGGCCTACGAGCCCGAGTAGGAGTGGGCAAGGATAAGCCCACTCGGGATCTCTCTCTTCTGGAACGGTACAGCTCTCTCGATAAGCTCTTAGGAGTGACTGCTTGGTTGCGCCGCTTTGTCCGCAATTCGGGAGACCCGTCCAACTGACTCTCTGATTGCGCTCTGATTGTCCCCTAGCGAGCGTCGTGAAGCTTTGATGCATTGGACCCGTATGGTCCAAACGGAGCATTTTGAGCCCGTTATTGAAAACTTGAAGCGTGGCTCCGTTATCAAGGGCGCCCTGGCCCGCCTGAACCTCTTTCTGGACGAGGCTGGGATGGTGCGCGTTGACGGACGTTTGAAAAATTCTCAATTGCCGTACGGGGCTCGACACCCGTTGCTGCTCCCTAAGGACAGCGCCCTTGTCCGGTTGCTGGTAGCCCACCACCATGTTAAGAGTGCCCACGCTGGGTTTAACGCTCTTTCGGCTATTTTGCAGCGGGAGTTTTGGATTTTGGCTGGCCGACGCACCATTCGGAGCGTCATCTTTAAGTGCATATCCTGTTATAAACTGAAGGCCACCATATCGCAGCCTCTGATGGGTGACTTACCGCCCAACCGCGTCAGGGCCATCCGACAATTCGCTGGAGTCGGAACAGACTTTGCTGGCCCCTTCCTCGTCAAGTCCTCTAACCTTCGTAACGCGCGTTCGCATAAGGCCTATCTTTGCGTCTTCGTGTGCCTCTCCACTAAGGCCGTTCACTTGGAACTTGTAAGCGCCCTCAGCACGGAAGCCTTCTTGGCCACGCTTGGCCGTTTCGTATCGCGGCGCGGTTTGCCGGACTTGATCCGGTCGGATTGCGGAACGAATTATAAGGGCACGGATAGGTATCTAAAAGAGGTCGTCGAATTTCTGTCCAGCCACCGGACTGATTTAGGCAATGCTATGTCAAAAAGGGGCATCCAGTGGAAGTTCGACCCTCCGGCGTGTCCCCACTGGGGCGGTATTTTCGAGGCGGTGGTTAAAATGGCAAAAACGCATCTCCGTCGCGTTATTGGTGAAACTATTTTGACATTTGAGGAGCTCGCCACTGTATTCTGTAAAATTGAGGCGGTACTCAGCTCTCGGCCCCTCTCATCCGACCCGAATGATTTGGAGGTTCTAACCCCGGGACACTTCCTGATTGGCCAGCCGCTTAACGCTCTGCCCGAGTACCCCTTCAGGGAAACGAACTCTTCGCGGCTGAACAGGTTTGACCTGCTGCAACAGATGACTCAGAGCTTTTGGCACCGATGGTCTCTGGAATACCTACATCTTTTGCAGCAGCGCATTAAGTGGTCTGACAAGACGGATCCTCCTCGGATGGGAGACCTGATGTTGGTTAAAGAACCCAACGCTCTGCCTTTGTATTGCCGCCGTGTGCGCATTGTTAAGTTGTCGTATGGAGCTGATGGGGTGCCTAGAGTGGCCGAGGTTTTGGTCGGAGATTCGGTCTTGCAACGTGCCGTCGCGACCTTGTCCCGTTTGCCAATTACTCGCGGACATAATTCCTTATGTCCGGGGCAGGGGTTTGTTTAAGCAAAAATATAAAACATTTGAAACGTGAATTTTTTATACGTTCGTTCGAAGCGTAGCACCGATAGCAAGGTCACCCACCCCCCGCCCGGTCGCATTCCACGGGCGGTATCGGACGGACTTCTCGAGAAGCATTGTAAAGTATTTTGCGATCGATACTGACGTCTTAGTGTTTAGCGCCTAATTTGTTACGAACGTAAAAAACCCGCTTAAATCGTTGCGTCGACGAGAACACGTATTGTTCTTTAAGGACTTATTAACTTCTGTTAAATTAATTGTGCAACTCCGATAGTGATTTTCCTTTGAAGTTCTTCGTTTGGCTGTACCATTACGTGACAAAACTGAAAGGGTGCCTCAAGAAGGGAATAATTCCGGGGCTACCAGTGGATACATTCTCCAGGACAGTATTGTGTCATCTAGCCCAGGCCACTTACACACAGCTTCATACAAGAACACATACATTCACTACACTCTCATCAGCCGGGCAGATCCTGGTGAACCGTCTCCGCTCCAGAAGCAGGTAAGTGCCTTCCCTTTAACTGGCTTTCCCCCTTATTGTTTATTGTAATTAGAGACCTTCCACTTTAGCCTTAGGAGGCCCGACCTGCATCTGCCTGTAGGTTCTTCCTTCATCGGCCGGGAGGATCCTACTATTAGATAGGCAGCTGCACGCCGTAACAGCCTTGTTACTAATAAAAAGGTATTAATTTTTGTCGCAGGCAGAATGGTTACATAAAAATTAAAAATTGCTAATATATACACAATAACATATAATAACACAATAACATTAGGTGTGAGGGTAGTGCAAATAAATAAAGCAGTTCAATTCAGAAAAGTAAGTTTTATTCAGTCTTTAACAGACAATCCAGCCAAAACTTTAAACAATGTGTATAAAGCCTTGGTTAATTTTTTACTCTTTCTTACAATTCAGTGATATTACTAGTTTTGTCCATGAAAATAATGAGACTGCTCGTTCAATGTAAATCTATGTGCCAGCAGGTAATCATTTCAATTCAGATCTATTTTTAAAGGGCTCACGGACTTGATATTATACTGTTACATTGATATTACTAGAATAACAAGAAAGAGAAGTCAAAGCTATGAACAATCCTTGCGATATGCATGCATTAACGCTGTTAAAGATTACGTTAATCGGCACAAAGGCAACTTATGTTTACGGGCTGCACATATTTCTTACATTAAAAATAAAGAATGTTAAATCACATCTTTCAGTTGAGCCATTGAATAAAAGTGTTTTGATACTTAGAGAATTATAGAAGAAAAAATGGGGCGCGGGCGATGTGAAACGTTGACTAGCGCACCGCCGCGCGCCGCTCGGTTGCGGCAACGTGACATGTAGCTCGGGTCTAGCGCTCGTCGTCGGCGGCGTCGGAGGCTTGTGGCGGGGCGGGCGGGGCGGGCGGCGGCGCGTCGGGCGCGTCCAGGCGCCAGTCGGCGGCGCCGGGCGCCCAGATGGAGGCGAGCGAGCGGAACGGGTCGTAGGCGCGCGGCGGCCGCGGCGGCGCGCCGAAGCCGGGCGGCGGCCGCACCGCGCCCGCCGCGCCCCACGCCCACGCGCCCGCCCCCACCCCCACCCCGCCCCACGTGCCGCCCAGCGCGCCGAACCCCCCGCCCGCGCTGCGAGCGCCTCCCACAACGCCCACGCCACCCACGCCGCTCGCTTCCTCTGCAAAACACATTAAATACTACTAATATAATATATTAACTTATTTTCTATGTAGTAAAATTCTTTGTAAGAGTTATGTTGCACAAGTGAACGGCAGAGTTTGCAAAGGACACCCAAGACGAAAGTTTATCAATCAAATTGACAATATATTGTACTCTTAACCGGTTCAGTGCGGGTGACACGCCAGGCGTGCCATCAATTACTTATGTGTGGCGTATGACACCCGAGTCGTGTCTTTTTAAAAATCGTTATAACTCGCTCAAATTGCTTTTTTGGAAAATTTATCCAGAACAAAATATTCATTATTTTGCGAGTAGTTCATGCATGCAGCTTCGTTTCTGGATATTTTGAAAATTTTAAATTTTTAGAGGTTGACAACCTTTTTTTAACGTGTACATGGTAATATTTTTACTTTGTGGGTTTTAAATCATGTTATGGAAAAATTGTTTAATAAGTAAAAAATAATAGCACTCATTGCGATCGCTCACAAACTCAAGTTGTAAATAAACTTCTGGAAAACAAGTCTCCTGTTAATAAAACAATGCGTTTGTCTTATTGTTTAATTTTGCTTAAAATGGTTGAACTGCCGTCTTATTACTATCATATGGCCGAATAGACCTACGAAGTACCATGTGCTCTTGTGATATGGTATAAGGTTTATTTTTGCTTGAAACAGTTCGAAACCGTTCATGCATAAAAAAAGTTTGCTAATAAATAGTCTTTTGTCAATCCGCCGCCGTATAGCGCCGGCGTTTTTTAAAAAAACATGTTTTGCTATTCTTACTAATTAGGACGTTTTCAGATCGACTTTACTTTTACATTTGTATAACATTAAATAATATTTAACATTTGTAAATATCAATGAATGATATACCTTATTTTTTTTTTCAAATTAAGGTTCTTCATTGTTTGATATTTACAAACGTTATTAGGTGAAAATTTAATTTAATAAAAATCAAGGTTTCCAGGGTGATTTAGCTGTACCTACTTATATAAATGATAACAAAAAATAGTACAAAAGGTTAGGTTTGTAATCTCTTCATAAAAAAAGTCACTCTCAATTTCAAAGAAAACGCGTAAAAAGACACGTAGTTACCCACTAAAAACAAGTATCCTTCCATTTGTAACTTATGTTTGATGTCAAATAAACTTAATTAGGTCTAAAGAAGTAAAAAAAGCATAAAAAAGAACATTACTTTTACACATGGCGGATGGCACAATAGGCGTGTCATTGGCGAAATATTTGTTCGCCGCCACAGCTAAAAGTTGTCGAAAATTAGTGCCGCAATGAATCGGTTAACCGACGAACATGTATGCGTAGGTATACAGAATGCGGTATAATGAATGGATAATATGGTACCTGCGAGTAGAGAACGTTGTGGCGGTTCAAAAAAATATGTTTTATGTTTAGTAAAAATCCCTCGGTTTTCGAGATAATTCGACATTTTTGATAATTCAAAAAAATTACAGCCTTTGCCTTTTGATGGCAAGACAACAATCTGCAGTTGGCACCAACCCTCATTTGGTTAGAAAAGACAGGTCCAAGTATCAATTTAAAATAAACCTTTGGACTGGGATCCTAAACGGCAACATCATCGGTCCATTCGTGTTCAGTTTACACCGAACACATTATGTACGCGTTTTAGTTTAAAGTTTTTATTTAAGTCAGTACATGTACGAACGCCAACATTGTCTCATGTGTAATCAGTGTGCTCACATACCTAACATTTGTAAACCCCGCTGTTTGGTGGTAAAACTCCAAATGAGGGAGTTTTTTCAATCTGTTTTTAGATACTATTCCTGAATAAAAGCGCTATCGAATGTAAACTATAGTTTTTGGGGCGCATGCATAGTTTTTTTTAAACAAAGATCTCAAATTTCATGTTTTGCTTATTTTTTCCTAAGCTAGCCTAACGTGGTGTAAAAAAAATATGGTCAGCTGAGTGCCAAATTAAGAAAAAACATGCTTGTTTCATTGATATTCCGAAATGGTATAACTCACTGTATTTCCAGCATTTAATAAAAAATAAATTCCTATTATAATAGTGCTAAAATTTACTTTATTACTTTAAATTAACTTAAAAATATTGATTTTTTATAACTGTGAGATTTAATAATGAAAGGAAACGAGAGAAAATAACAATTTTAAAACAATTTTTGTCCTTTTCCAACTCTTGAGACAACTTTCTGAGATAGAGAGCTTGATAATTTGGTTACGAGGGCGGCACTGAAAATTTCGGGAATCAAGGAAGTGACACAACATTACTATTTAAAAATGTATTTATTGCTTTTCGAAGTATTCTCCGCGAAATTTGACACATTTTTCCATACGATGGAACCAATCATTGAAGCAACCATTCCATTCGGAAGTTGGGGTCTCCAAAATGGCCGTTTTGTAGGCGTCACAGCTTCTTTAGGTGATGAAAATCTCTGTCCACGTAATTTATTATTTATTTTAGGGAAAGTATAGAAATCATTAGGGATTAGGTCGGGGCTGTACGGCGGATGGTCTAATAATTATATGTTTTCTTGCTCTAAAAACTCTTTTGTTCTGTGTGCGGTGTGAGAACTCGCATTGTCGTGATGGAGGATGATGTGGCGGTTGTAGTTCTCTTTACGGAGTTCAGAAACGACCTGTGGCAAACAAATGCTAGCATACCATTCTGCATTAACCGTTCTTTGTCCCTCAAGAGGAATAGTCGTAACATGGCCGGTTTTGGAGACAAACGTGGCCACCATTTTTTTTTGCAACACTCCGTGAACGAACATTTTTTTGTTGGCTTTAACTCATTTTCGAACACCCAAACTCGTGACTGGTTTTTCGTTTCGGGTTCTTACGCATATATCCAGGATTCGTCACCTGATACGATGTTGTATTCAGCTTTTGAGGATCCTGCGTGGAATCTTTCGAGAGTTCTGACGCACCAAGTAACGCGTGCCACTTTTTGCTCTTCACAGAGCGAATGCGGTATTCATCGGGAAAACAACTTTTTTACACCTAATTGTTCATGCAAGATTATTTGTATTTGACTCATGCCAATGTCTAAAGATGCCTGAATTTCGCGGTATGTCACATGTCGATCTTCCTCAATCAGCTTACGCACAGCATCAACGTTTTCTTGGGTGACTGCAGTTTTTGGACGACCTTGACGGGGATCATCACTGAGCTTGACACGTCCGCGTTGAAATTCAGCAAACCAGCGATAAATTGTGGTTTTGGATGGGGCTTCATCAGCAAATGCAGAAATCATCCGGTCAACACACTGTTTTTGTGTTAAACCACTTCGAAAGTCATAATAAATCATCGCTCTTGAATTTTCTCGAGTCAATTCCATTTTCTCAACGACTAAACAAGTTTGACAAAACCTTGTGACAAGACCGAGAATCTTTTTTTAAATAAATAAATGGTATTCAATTTTAAAAAACCAAGGACTTTTCAATTAAAAAGATTTTAATATGACAGGAACAGTGGAAATATTCCATTCCCGATACTTTTAGTGCAGCCTATGTAATAGCAGCAATTTCAGGCGTATAAATTTCGGGTCCGGTTTTCAATTCGCTCGTAAATATTTTGTGAGTATAGATTGATAATTCTTCACTTTTGATTGCGCAACCGGGTTCCAGCGCGATGACCCCGGTGTCTCTCAGCCGTACCACGGTAACTTGATGATCACCGCAAAAAAACTCTTGCGTTGCATTTGTCGCATGTTGTAAATAAGTAATTGTTCGCCTTATTTAATTGAATAAACATGTTACTGCACTCGGCAATATTTTATTTGGCAATGATTTGAGTCTTGTTTGTGGAGACATGTACAAAAATTCTTGACAAAAGAATAGTCCATGATCCTTACTGCAGAGTGGGCATGTATATGTTATGAAATTCTTGTTTTTAGCAGCTTGTAAGTTAGGTGACGCAGCACTCCTCGACGAGATGTTGGATGGATGCTGGGTTGTTACTCGGTTACTGGCGTATGATTTCTTGAAATAATTCGATTTCGGAGTTTTCAGACACTGATTTTGCTTACTTAGAATGTGTGATTTTTGATGAGCGTGGTCTTGTTTTTTACGTCCAGACTCCATCGACGTAAATGTTTGTTCCAAAAACTTGAGAAATTCTTGTAATTTTGGCAGTTCCCGGGGACGTTTCAAAGATTGAACATAATCATGATTATAATAATAATAATAATGTTTATTTCTCCTCACAAAAACAGGCAATACATAATAAAACTTATATCTATTTAAATACAGGTAAGTTCATACTCATAGTCTAGTATATGTGAGGAGCTGGTGTCTGAATTAGGCTATAAAATGCCTGTATTACAAATCACCAGGTCCCCACCCCACGGGACAAACAAGAGCATAATTCGCGATTGAGTGTTACAGATATCAAAGAACTTATAGTATTAACGTAAAATGATACACTAAAATGCATTTGTATGACATATGAGGCTATTTAAATTACATATAAAAAAGAATAAAAATGGGCTTAAAAAAGGCTAAAAAAAAAGAAAAAAAAAAGTTACAACGGTTCCGTTACCTCATGTGTGTGTGTGTGTTCGTGTGTGTGTGTGTGTGTTCGTGTGTGTGTGTGTGTTCGTGTGTGTGTGTGTGTGTGTGTGTGTGTGTGTGTGTGTGTGTGTGTGTGTGTGTGTGTGTGTGTGCGTGTGTGTGTGTATGTGTAGAAAAAGAAATTATTTATGAAGTAAATTTTCTGTACGGTCATAATCCAATTTTTTTAACCACTCCGCGACAGTAAATTTACATTTAATTTTTGGAAGGGAATAGATTGACAGTTCCCTATTTAATTTATTATAAAGGTTACTGCTTTGGTAACAGTAAAATCGATGTGTAAGGCTAGTTCTGTATTTAGTTATAGTGCAGACTTTATCCTTGCGGCGCTGATTCCTAAAGTTATCTGGTTCATACTTTAACTGGGAATGTTGTTGAAGTACAGTATATAAAATGTAAAGCTGTCTGACAGTCAGGACTTTCCATTTTTG